GGGTAGGCAGAGGACAGTGTGGTACAATGTAATACCCACTTTTCACTATTTATGTTATGAGTCCCATGTAATAGGAGGTGAGCCTATTGCCATATACCGGGTACAATTCCAGTCTCTGTGCTACCACAGATTTTTTTTCAAAACCCCGTAATACTTTGCCCGGCAGTCGCACTTGCGACCTCTCGGCCAATGAGGCAGTCATTAGCAATATGAAGCTGCAGAAATTTTCTTGATGTTTGACATGCAACATGTTGCAACACATTGTTGTTTGTCTACAAAACTACTATCTCACTAATACGTTGCACTGTTTAACTGCAGACAACGCAAACGGGACTACCTTATTTTAGCTAACCAAATGGTGCCAATGTAGGAAGAAGTTCTTTTGACCAATCACAGCTGCTGTCAAATACTGAACGTCCAATGGTGTTACACTAGCTAATTACTATTGTACGAAAACCGACAGGCTCACACTAGCACTATCTGGTGTGGTACAGTAGGTCCCCTTGGAACTGCGAGTGTCCACGGGCGACTCCGATTGCTTACCATCAGGTTATTCGACTGATGGTTTACCGCGTAGCATGTTGCATCAATCGTTGCTCAGTACATAAAATACTAAGTTTAATTTTAATTCTTCACAACATCTATAACACGAACAGCATGCACAAATCTGTCTATCATTTCGAAGAAAAACAGACATAACTAGTGATTATACAATTATTTTTCAAAATTAACAACGCACGAATATCAAAGCGTTACAACGGAAACAAGAAAGATGTTTATCTTAAATTAGTGTTCAACACATCTATCATACATATATACATACTTACATCCATTAGAGATGATATTATACACACACATACGTATTATCGTCACATCTCTTTGAAAATAACTGGGCTCGTTATATCTAGGCGTTGGAACATCCTGTGTACAGCTTTAATGGTAGAGGTTATCTCGCTACTAATCGGTTTAAAGGGTGTTTGGACGGAACTGTCACTGTGGGATCATTTTCTTTGAAATCTTGTACCGCAGGATGACGTGTGATGTTCCTTTGAAAAATTGTGTTATGTACTACACCAAGTTATGTTATATATTACTAGCTACTTCCGCGCGGTTTCACTCGCTCTGCTCAGCTCCTATTAGTCGTAGCGTGATATTTTATAGCCTATAGCCATCCTCGATAAATGTGTTATCCAACACAAAAAGAATTATTTAAATCAGACTTGCAGTTACGGAAATTAGCGCGTTCAAACAAACAAACTAAAAAACAAACTCTTCCGCTTCCGGTTTTCTTGTAGTCACTTGACGATGCAACTCAGATCATAATTAAATGTTGGTTTCGTTAATATATGTACAAAAAAGATACTGAATTTCAAATTTTTTAATTAATTCAAAAGTTCACAGTATATTTTTCAATTGTAAATTCGAAATTGTGACATCAGTTATGTTGTTTCTTCAGGGGGGAATACTTTATACTTATCCAATGACTTCTCCCGCCTTGAAAGTCCGATTCTCAATGACTGAAAACCACCCCGTTCCTACTCCTGCTATTTGCCCCGGCAACCCGTTAAGACTTCCGCGGCTGCGTACATTAAGTCAATTTTATTTTGCTTGCGAGTATGTCAACATTGAGTACCTAAAGCTCCAAAGTTTAGCTTATGAAATTATGCAAAAATAATAATCATCATCATCATCAGCCCGTATTCGTCCACTGCTGGACATAGGCCTCTATGGTACCCCACTGAGCTCGGTCTTCAGCTCTTCTCATCCAACCACTGCCAGCCACCTAGCGGATGTCGTCACTGCACCTAGTGGAGGGCGCCCTACACTACGTTTGCCTGGACGCGGTCTCCACTCTAGAACACGTTTACCCCAGCGGTTATCGGTTCTTCGACAAATGTGAGCCCACTGCCACTTCAGCTTACTGATCCTTTGAGCTATGTCGATAACTTTGGTTCTCTGAAAAAATAATAGGTAATAATTAGGAATCAAAGATTACTTAAGCACCTAAAACAAACATAAATATATACCCTAGTTGCTAATGCTAAGTTATACTTAAAATACAGCTAATCCACTCACTACCAAGTAGCTACTTCTAACATAATCGCGAATATTTTGCCTAAATGACTTACGTTATGTGTTCAGTTGAGTTTCCAACGATATAGACGGTTGCCTGAATTGTACAAGTTACGTTGCTAATGGTCCTATGTTGTTCTATCAGTAATTTTACTGTATAAATGTTCTCTGTTGCTCGTTGGCCGATTAGTCGCAAAGTTTCAAAAATTCTCAGTAGGAGCACGGAGTCCGGAATTGTGCCCGGTATATGGCAATAGGCTCACGCCCTATTACATGGGACTCATAACATAATTAGTGAAAAGTGGGTGTTACATTGTAGGTACGGTGGTATTAAGTGCCGTAATGTGCACCTCTGTCTACCCCTTTGAGGATAAAAGGCGTGATGTTATGTTATGTATATGATCTCTGTGTGCTACGGTCTTTATGATGAAATGCTTGATAAGTGATGTTCAACTCTTTTTTTTTTTTAAAGATGGCTGGGTGTCTTGTGTATGTGTACTTTTATATGTTTTTAAATGCACCCACGCCACGGAGACACACAGGAGAAAATCTTAGCGTGGGGTAACACTTTATTTTAGAACAAAGAACACGATGTTAAACTCGTTTTTATTGAATACTAAATGTCTAAAATTCGAATATTGAAATAAATACCAAAAATTGCTAATTACGATTAGTTAATTACTATTAAAAAAGTTCTGATCTAATTCAGCAATTTTGAACTCACAAATTAGAACAAAGAACAAAACATAAAAAAAAAATAAAACAACATCCACAAAAATCTAAATAAATAAACGAAAAATTTTATCCACAATTTTAAATATAGTACAAACAACCCTAAAACGCTTCCGTGGCCTTCGCAGATTAAAGCCGAGCCTTTCGGCAAGATGAATTTCACCGTTGTAATGTGTTAAATTTTCAAACTAATTTGTATGATAACACCTCTTCGTCATTTTGGGGTTACACCAACAGTAATTTGCCTTGTAATTTACTGTAGAATTTTCTAATTTAAACGTTTCATTTGAATAATGCGGTATATTAGGTAAATTCTAGTTCTAATTGGGGCGGAATAGCTGATGTGTGTTGTGAGCGTGTATGGGTATTTATGAATTAAGTAGATGTGTTATTTACTACGCTCAGTACAAAGAAGTGAAATTAATATTAAAGTAGCTATTTTGTTGCAGTATTATTATATTGTTTTTTTTTTATTTTAGTTGTAGACAATATTATGGTAATAGGCCCATCCCCTATTACATGGGACTCATAACATAAGTCAAAAGTCGGTGTTACATTGTACAACGACATTCAGTACCGTAATGTGCACTTCTGCCTACCGCTTCAGGAATGAAGGATAATACTCTTTTTCTTTATTTTGAGTAGGTTTTAAGTAAGTAATTGTTTCCAAAAGATGCCTCGTCAAGTTGTCGCTTACGATCGAATATCTTGTTAGTCTGCTGATTAAAAATGAAGTTGATTGATGAGATTAGTAAAGTACATACGTAGCACTAAAAAATAAAGGACCAAATTCGTCTTGAAGGACCAAACATTGTATAAAAAGGACCAAAAGGAAATGAAAGTTTGTAGGATACTCCAAACGTAACAGCTCGCTATTCGAGATTAAATTATTTACACAATATTGTGAAACAGCTGCTTTCACAAATTTGTTGTGAACCAGACCTGTAGGAACATTGTGAATTATTATTGTTGGCTCTAGAGCAGCTTCCTTATAGAACGAGAATGCACGACTATCGCGCGATTTAGCGATGTGACTATAGGATGTTTGTGACTTAACAATAACTGAATGTCCTTATATAGAAAGTGAATAGGTGTGTGGAAATAAAAACTGCTATAGTAAATTTGTTATATCTACATGCAGATAAAATTAGAATAAAGGCAGTAAACATTTTTATATTAAACTAGGCAAGAAAGATTATCGTATCGCGCGATCATTGTCGCGAAATTTCAAAGTATTCGACCGTGTGGTCGTACGAACTAAACCCGCAAAATCTTGTCGCGATAGTCGCGCATTCTTGTTCAATCAGGACGACCCCTAAGAAACTCCAAGGTTATAATAACGAATTTATAAACAGCAGTAACAAGATGAATGTTAATTATTAGGATACATACTAATTGAGTGAGTCAAGTCTTGGAATAGATCAAGGTTTCAGAAGATATGTTATTAAATCATATTATTGGAACAGAGATAATTAGTATCATCATCATTTACTTGCCATTTGTAGTCTATATTTCCTCATTCCGAGTAAATGGAAATCAGTTATAATTTGATCCTTCAAATATGATTAGAACCTGCGTTAAAGATGGTTGAGTATCATTGATTCGAAAGAGGTTTGTCAGAATTGAATACTCTTTATCTTTACTGTCTGCTCCGAATAAAAGGCAAGTTGAAATCGAAGAACGATGCTATATGTTTTTATGTGATAGGCTGGAAAGAGCTACGGATTACCTAATGGTAAGCAATCGGTGCCGCCGATGGACAACCCAAACACTATAGGCGTTACAAGTGCGTTGCCGGCTTTTGTGGATAGGAATTTGAGGATTGTTGGGGATTCAGGAATTGGGGATATTGGGGTCCAGTATCTTTAATTTAAATATCAAAGCTATTAATAGATTTAATTTTGTAGTCGCATATTAACATTTATTTTTCCATTTGTTACAGGTACCAAAGAAAAATGTCATCGACCTAATAAAACTAACAAAAGGACAACAATGTGAAATAATGAATTGAAATACACATGATTTCAACAACCAACTTCACACACACACCGTCAAATGTGAACACAATACAATACGATTGCACAAATATAACATACAGTTACAAAAATGCAACACACAACTGCACTTACGAGTCTACGGAGGAGTATGAACACTCAGGCTTCGCGAAGACGAATTTCTCGAATGCGACCTTCGCGATGTCGAACGAAAATTTCACGGATTATGAGATACCGTATTACATAAAGACCACGTCAATGACATTTTGCATAGTGATAATGTGTTTGGGTGTGATCGGAAATGTGATGGTACCTATAGTGATTCTGAAGACGAAGGATATGAGGAACTCGACGAATATATTTCTAGTGAACTTAAGTATTGCGGACTTGATGGTGTTGCTTGTGTGTACGCCGACTGTGCTTGTTGAGGTGAACTCGAAACCTGAAACCTGGGTGCTCGGGAAGGAGTTATGTGAGTATTAGTATTTTATTAATGTTTAAGTTTAAGCATCAAAATATAACACATTTCTCCGTTTTGCTGCCATGGGGATTCTCAGAAAGAGTCATTAATTATTTTATTCTTATTCTCAGTCGGGTTTTTAATCCTTCTTGTAGGTATAGGTAAAGAAAATGATAATAAAAATACTTAGACTATTTAAACGGTCGAGTGACACAAGCGTGAACGACGAATCACTTGAAAAACCGGAAAATGTTATTGAATTTTCTAACTATTAAAACATCGAGTCTCGAATTAAGCATTGTGTCAGTACTACCAATTGTAAATCTAAGTCAAAATTATCATCAACAGCCTATAAGTACCCACTGCTGACCAAAGGCCTCTTCTCACACGGAGAAGGTTTGAGCATTTCACCACGCTAGCTCAATACATATAAGTGTAGTTTCCTCACGATGTTTTCCTCACCGTTTTGTCAGTGGTGTCTAAATAGTATTAGAAAGTACATGTAACTCGGAAAAAGTCACATTGGTACTTGCCGTTGGTAGGTTTCGAACGCGCGCTCATGCATGAGAAGCGGGCGTCTTAAACCCCGGGCCACCACACCAAATCTAAGTAACTGGTGGTAGTTGGGTAACACTTAACACTTTCACGTCTGCCTACTTAGCTTGAAATTGAGAAACCATTCATATATAACCCTAGCGTGAAAGGAAACTGATATTTTAGGAGCTGCCAAATGGAATTCCCAAAGAATGGCGTTTGGCACTCGATATGCCCAATAGTGGGAACAAAGTGGAAATGTATCTGCTTTATAAGGACAAAACTTTGTTATTTATTTCTATTTTTAACATGGTTTTATTCTGTTTTGTTTACATGTAGGTTTTAGGATTTTTTCAATAATAGGGTAGTTTCCTAAATTTTTATTTTAATGTCCGTCTGGTACATTAATTTCAAACTTTAGGCACGTACTTTTCTTTTCTTACAAAATTAAATACTTTCGACGATATATTAATTTAAAATATCGTATGACGTAACAACCTCCCGCTCCTAAACTTAGCGCCATTTTATCTAAGTATTGCAATTTCATACGAGAAAATAAAAAAATACGTGTCTAATATTTTTTCATTATCTAACTGACGGACTAATTAGATTTTTAATTTTGATACCCTGGAAACTACCCAATCATCGTAGCGCTATGTTTTCTTGACAAACGATAAAGGACAACATCGTGAGGAAAATTAAGCTTATAATTTCTAATTTTAATGGTTTTGTTCTATTTTATTTACATGTACGTTTCGGGAATTATTGGATAATTTTATACTAGCGTTACGCAAACGGTAAAGGAAAATTTGGTGACATTAATTAGAGACGATTTGTAATTATAAGTTTAAAATTGCCAACCCGGATTGAGCAAGCGTAGCGATTAATACTCAAACCTTCTTCGTTTAAAAAGAGGTTTTTGATCAGCAGTGGCCATTTATAGGCTGTTGCTGTTTATGATGTATATTTTCCCGTAGCAATTATTTTTGGAATCCAACTAGAAACACGTTGTATAACAGCTCAACTATTCAATAAAGCATTCGTAACGGATTTTTTTAAGGGGGGAAAATCATCGAATGACTTCTCCCACCTGGGTGAGGCGGGAGGGTGTGTCAGACTCTTACTGACTAAAAACCACCCCGTTCCTTCTCCTGCACTTCGAACCGGAGCCCCGGTTACCCGTTAGGTTCTCCGCGAATTTGTTACGGCCAGGCTAGCTGTAACTGTCAATTTAGATTTCAAAGTGAGTTCGATCGCATTCTCGCCGGTCATTGGTCGAGAGAGTATACTCGCAACCAATAACGTGGCGGACTTCTATCGAGTTTACTTCGATTTTTAGATTTGAAAGATACAAAATAGCCGCTGCTATTTAATTTAACCTGTTGAAATATCATCCCCTAAATTTGTTCATACAAAATTAGTTTCTAAACATCGGAAATAAGGGCTATAATGTAGTTAGTGGAGAGCGGTCACTGATGACCGCTTGGGGATAAATGGTAGCTAGTGTGATGTCTGGATTATGACAATGAGGTGAACTGCCTCGTTGGCCAAGTGGTCGCAAGTACGACTGCCGGTCAAAGGGTCTCGGTTTCAATTCCCGGGTCGGACAAAAGTATTACTGGGGTTTGTAAACATTGTCAGTAGTAGCACGGAATTTAGAATTGTGCTGGTATATGGTAATAGGCTCATCCCTATTAAGTACATGAAAATCGTAACATAAATAGTGAAAAGTGGTTGTTACTGTACATTGCACAGTGGCGTTAAGTGCTTTAATGTGCTTACCCCTTCGAGGATAAAAGACGTGATGTTATGTTATGAGGAGATTTCTTTTATAATGATTTGCCCGACTAGGATATCGTAACCAAAACATCATAATTAACAATTCCATATTGCAAACACATAGACAATCATTTCTTAAATTAAAAAAATATATACTTTCTAAAAACTACTTTAAAAATCAACTCAAGTATGAAGTTCGACTTCATAAATACTTTATTCAAATCAGAAGCGTTATGAGCCAAGACATTACATGGAATCGATTCCCGTTGCCATGGTTACCGAGATAAAGTCACTGGCTCTTTGCACTAAGTATTATTTTAACATTAAAATCTCATCATTATACGTATGGTATAAAAACCGACCATATTTACCAAGACACTAATACGAACACCCTATATTTAGCGAGTATATTTTTGGGAAAAAGAGCATTATTTTTATTACACTTAAGCATCAAATTCCCTTATAAGTGTGGGCTTAAGTTGTCGAATTCATTTATTTTGATATTAATCCTTTTACAAATATGAGCTTTCTGAGTAATTTTGCACCGTTTTAATGACTAAGTTTTAAAGTGTTGTCGGAAACTTCTTTTTAGTTAATATGTATGCATCTGTTGCTCATGACTTCGTCCGCATCGAATATGAATTTTAGGAAATAACATTATTTATGATTCAATTTTCCAAAATATTTTTTTTTTATTAGCTACCTGCCATAAAAATCCCGTCAAAATCTGTCCAGGCATTCCAGAGATTAGCCAGTACAAACAAACAAACAGACAGATAGACAAAAATTCTCTCTGGGCCTCTGCGCAGTTGGCTTCGGCCCCTCGTACGCCTTCTAAATGACCGGGACCCTGTGGTCTCGTGAATGGTAAAGACATTGTTATTACATCGATGACCTACATACCAAATTGCCTGTATGTTAGAACTGCATTGATTTAAGTCAATCACAAAATTCTACATCAGCAATTATTTGTTATAAATATTCATTATTTTCCCAAATTCAGTGCAGATTTAGTATAGACACAGGTGCTGATACAATCGTGATCTTCGGATCTAGCCCAACTTGTTGGTTTTCAGCCCAAATTCCGGATCTAGACCGGGTCGACCTAGCCTTTCACTAGGGCAACGGCGCGACTGTGAGTGTAGCCTAGGACGTTGAAGTGTGTATAAATATAACGTTTTTATTAAAAATATAAACTCTTGCGACTCAAACGTTTAACGGTTTTTTCTTTTAACTGCCGAGTCGCTCAGAAAACAGTACGCTGTTTTTTGGTATAATTATAAAAAAGAATACAACACATTTTTTAGTAGTTATGTTATGTATTTTCCTACCCTAATAGGGGGTATCGATACAATTTTTTTATCCACTTCTTGATTAATGAGGTTGAATCTTCGTAACCACAAATTCCAAGCAAGACGTCTCCTGTTTAATTAATATTATTGGCCACACTGCCTCGTTGATCGAGTGGTCGCAAGTGCGAGTGCTGGGCAAGGGGTCTTGGGTTTGATTCCAGGGTCAGGCAAAGTATGGTCGAGCAATGGGCTCACCCCGTATCACATGGGACTCATAACATAAATAGTGAAAACTGGGTGTTACATTGTACAGTGACTTTAATGCTGTAATGTGCACCTCTGCCTATCCCCCCGGGGATATAAGGTGTGATGTTATGTTACGAAGTATGAGGTATTATAATAAGAGATTCGATAATATACTTTAAAATAATATCTTCAAGGTGTGATGTAGTTAATATTATGCAGAAATAATTAAAACACGAATCGTAATTCATGTTAAAATTAAACAGAAATATCATGAACGTGTTAAAAGCTTCGTTTAAAAGCCAGTTCCAAATAAAAACAAAAGAATGAATTGAATAAAGAAAAGAAACAGCTGATAACTTGAGCTAGAACACAGACTGCATTTATAGGTACGTATATAGACTAATATACATAGATATACTAACATATAATAGAAGCAATATCGCTGTTTGTAGACAGTGTCAGTGCAACAGTTACGATCGGAATAAAACCTCCGTAAATACAGATTGCAGTCGATATTGTTCGATATGCAGCGATTTACACGTAAAGGTTTGGTGCCAGTGATGGCGATATGCTAAAATTGTTAGCTTAATTTGTTGGCTGTTGGGATTTCGTAGGATATCTGTTTGTTCTGGGTAAAATTACAATGTACATTGTACATATTTTGTTAAAATAAACTATGTTACTATGATCTTAAAAGTTTGTAGGTCTCTTTAACTCCAAATGAAAACAAACGTTCTGACGGTCCAACAGAACATAGATATTATATTCGTCATGGTCCAAACATTTTGATGGTAGTTACAACAGAACATAGGTAGATATATTCATCATTGGTAAAAGTAGCTACATAATTTTGACGTACAATATCAAGTGACTTTCTTACATTCTAAATTCAAACTAACAGCGAGCCAAAGAGAAAAAACTCAATTGCAAATCGCTCACAATCAAGACCCACTCAACACAAGCCATTCGCAGCACATGCCTCCTTTGTGCTAAACTACCGACGCGACCAGACAACTAAATTCCAACCTTCGACTAAAACAATAAGGTGGCAATTTCTTTGACAATGAGCTCGGAAGTGAAAACCGCGATACGCCCTAATTAAGTGGAATAAAGTAAACGCTGTGAGGATTGCGCGTGCGACTTTTAATCGTGCGATTTTTA